AATCTAGCTATTGCTATGCATGTCAAGGACAAGGGTACTTGGAAGTTGGCAGGAAATAAAATGAGCATTGATCAGAAACAATATTCATCAGTAGTTAAGGGAATATTGAAAGGCTTAAACTACAATCAAACTCAATGTGTGAATAAGATATTAAGCTACATTAGTACTATGCTTGACCAGTGAAATGATTTTGAGCTGAACTACATATGAAAGTCACTGGAAATACTTGTGGGATGTCAAATATCTTCTGTTTTAACCGGCATTACTCTCTGAAATAAGCATTTGCCAAGCATCATTATCATTCAACATATGACTAAGTATATATGTTTCGTCAACCGATCAAAATGTGTGGGAGCATGATGCTCCAACTTAACTGGTTTTGCTCCTTCTATCCAACCTTAATTGATGGCAAACTCTAAAGCCTAATATATCAAGATAACTTCACCAAATGAAAATCTCGTAAGATGAGAATAATTGGAACAAACCTATTCAGAAAGTCAAATGAATCAGCAGTCACTATTTTACCAGAACGAAATTGAAAATACCACTAGATTTGCTTGCTTCTGTCACTATTATGATAGAAGACACCACATTCTTGACTAACTTAGGAGTTCGATGATTTTCTTTGGGTTAATCTAAAATTCCTTACTAGTTTTGTTCATGTTGCCTCCGTTTTGCAGCAATGACACCCCGAGAGGCACACACATATATATGCTCTGTTTAGTTAGTTGTTGATAGGGTGTTTCTACAAAAACTGTACATATTAATCGTTTGCATCAGCAACAAAATTCAATAGATATTTCTTCATTCAGTGTTCAAAGAAGTGATCTAGCCTTTTAGCCAATTAACAAATTTTGACTTCTTGAACAAAGTACATGAATGTGACAAGCCTGAGACCAAGAAAACAAGAAATTCGTTTTCTAGTAATATCAAATCAAGTTAGAATTACTGGCTAAATGGAAAGTATGAACAGGTGAACTTTCTCCATGAAGTCAAACACTCTAAAGACAGTTTTCATCTCCAACTTTAACATCATAATATTCCATAAAAAAAAAATAAATCCCCACTGCCCTAATGCAAATATAATACATATAATCACAAAATGAAATATAAGGAAAAAATCCTTTTAGATAACAAAAAATATCCACCAGTAGATATAAGGCAGAAAGAAAGGCAAAACTGGTACAAAGATAACTTGTACAATAGTGCTGACATACTAAGCCAAAAGCTTAGGCATCACACACATCAGTTAATATTCATGGGAGCCACCCCAAGTCAAAGCCGCAATATGACTATGTATCAATCTCATTGAATATTGTCCACGAAACTGGAAAACAAACTTCTTCAAGAAAAAAAAAATTGCTACTAATTGTTCAACCAAACCAAATGCTATGGTAAACAATGCTGATAAGTGTTAGGAAATTGGCTTAATTTCTTTTAGTCAAGATCCTTATTTGGTGTGGAAAGTAACTAGATTTTAGTTACTTGAAGTAGTAGTCAAGTAAAGTCCTATTTGGTTTAAAATTAGATGTTTTTTGCTACTCTATATGAGTTTAGGAATTAGTATTGGTTTCCAATTGTTATTTGGTTTTTTGGCCAAGTAGTGCTCTCTATAAATAGGTAGATTGATATACTACAAAGACACAAGAAAGAAGTGAGAGAGTTCTTAGTGGGTAAGAGGGTTATACAAGAGTTGGACTTGGGAATCAAGTTGTAGTTTTGTGGTGTTTTTCCTCTCATAGTAAGAACAAGTTTTTCTCTCCGTGGACGTAGGCTTGCTGATTAAGCCGAACCACATTAATTCTTGTGCGTTGCTCATCGTTTCCAGCCCTTAAAATTCTCTCTCTTGAAAGCATGGAAAATTTGGAAGAGTGGAAGGACGCACACGAAATAAGGTCAACCGCAGGTGAAGTACATGTGATGGATGTGTTTCCCATGCTTGAAGAGTTGTATATTAGCCATTGCCCCAAGCTGACCACCATTCCAACTCCAAGTCACTTCCCGAGTCTTGATGTATTGGAAATCAAAAGGAATTGCCATGTTTTGCTGGCAGAAAAGGTTTTGAGCAATATGGCCAATCTCTCATCCCTTGAATTATGGGATCTTGGTGGTCAACGCGAGTCTCTAAAATTAGTGAAACGACCAGAGAGCAGCTTGAGTATTGAAGGCTGTAACAGTCTACCCACTGACATGCTTGAGCGACTCTGTCTTTTTCCAACTCTTCAGCATGTAGAATTGATGGATGCCGCCAATGTAACAACATTAAGAGGAATGAGTTGCGCCGCTTGTCTTGAGAGATTGACAGTCATTCGTTGTTACAATTTATGGGAGTTGCCAGAAGATCTTTATCAATTTCAAGCTTTAGAGGACTTGAAGATACTCTGTTGCCCGAGAATTGATTCATTTGGGTATCCAAATGCTAAAAATTCATTTGGACAGAAAGGCCTCCTTAAGTCTCTTGAGCGATTTACTGTCGGTAGGTGCGATGCATTAACAAGATTACCAGTGGAGATGTTCGAGTCGTGTACGTCTCTCCGAGAGCTGAAGTTGTCCTATTGCCGCAGTCTGGTCTCCTTTCCCCTTGATTTGCGACGAACCCCTTCTCTCGAGAGCTTCTCATTATACGGGTGTTCCGACTTGATTACTGAGATGCCTAGTGGATTTGGCTATCTTACCAGCTTAAGGAAAGTGAAGATTGGGCCCTTCTCAGATGACTCTGCAATCGAATTTGATTGGGCTGGATTAGCATCTTCATCATCACTGCAACACGTGTCTTTGCAGGGAATGCGTGACACGAAATCTCTGCCACATCAGCTTCAAGACTTGACTACCATCACATCACTATCTCTAGATGACTTCGGAGCAATCGAAGCCTTACCAGATTGGCTTGGGAACCTTGCGTCTCTTGAAGAGCTAATCCTCCGTAGATGCCCAAAGCTTGAATATTTACCCTCCGTAGATGCCATGGAACGCCTCAAATTAAGACGTCTGGTAATTCGTAGTTGTCCTCTATTAAAACCAAGATGCACTCCTGAAAGCGGCTCCGAGTGGTCCAAGATCTCTAATATTCCAGAGCGTGAAATTGATCTCGTAAGATTTCGTCTCAAAATTTTAATTAATTGCTTCTCATTATTGGATCATCTTACTCTACCCGTATTTGTCCCTCACTCTTTTTCTCCATAAATATCTATTCCTCTACTTCTTCTGGCAAAAGATTACTCTCTCTTTCAATATATTTTTAAGCTGATTCATGTCATTAACAAATTAGAGTTACGAGCAAATTGAAAGACAATAAAATTCTGGATTTCATCTGCTTTTCTGAACCATCAAAAGGGTTAATGAGCTTGGTATCTGCTATACGAAATTCTGGATTTCACTACTACATGTGAACTTGGTACTGGCTATTTGTCCATGAAATTCGCAAACATTGCAAGCGTAAACATTCAGCTTCAATGAAATTCGTAAACATTGCAAGTATGTTCTTTTTTTTCTTTTTTTTTTGTCAGTGATATTTCCAAACAACATTAAAACCAATGAAATAGCAATTTGGGGTGATACACACATTATAACATGCATATAAGAGTTTCCAAAAAATTACTAAAAATAGGAAAACACCATAACAAGCACAATCATTAAATTAGTAATGCTGCTATAACCATACACCTGTAGCATTGATAGTAAATGATTTTAGCATCGAGTATACCTTCCATTCCTATTTTATTGACATTAAAACTTAAGTATAAGATTAAAACCATCATATCTTATATAACACAGTAAGAATCCCAATACGCGAAAGAAGTAGTAGTGTTTTGCTGTTATACCTAAATTTCAACAGTTAATTTTCTTTTTTGCTTATTTTCAATTATATTCCTAAAATTCATTTTAACTTGAGTAACAGAAATAAATGAATGACAATTTTGGAACATTAACTTATCCAAATAATTGTAATATATAACTTATCTAAATTAAAACTTAGATAAAAACTACTAACATTATACATACAACAAATAATTATCAATCTGATACAACTACTTATATTGTTAAGAATATGTAAAATAAATTTGCAAATCACATGACTAATATACTCTATTCTAAATCTAGAAAAAATCATAAATTAGAACTAAAATCATTAGCAATTACAAATAAATAAAGAAATTCATACAAATAAATTAACAAATCTTTTCTGAAATAGCCAATATGTACTTCTGAGGTTTCGGCCGAACCAAAGTAGTGTCGGAAAGAAACACATTCAGAAGTTGAATTGATTCCTTGAAAGCCCATAGAATTTGGATGTGCAAACTGTCGAATTGATATCTTTAAAAACCCACTACACCCAACAGCACTTGAAGGTGACAATTTTTGTTTTTACCGCTAGCATTTAACGGGTGGATATGTTCTTAATATTCTCTCTGTAAGACTCTGAATTATGATTGCCGTTAAATTAGCTCAATGTCGATTCAGTTGAAATTGTTTGCAGAGGAACTAGGCTGCTGTTAAAACTATAAATTCTTATCATCTTTTAAAATTTTTAAAATTCAGATACTATAACTAGCTACTTTTCTGTTTTGTGAATTAGATTGAGCGTATTATGGCCTTGTTGGCCACAAGTGTCAATGAAGCAGCAAGCAGTGATGGTGCCGAAACATTGTGAAAGGCTCAAAAGTGTGCTCAAGGCAGAGTCAGCCTGGAACCTCTAGAGCATGTTATTGCACTTTTCACATTCTCCAACTGCAACATCAGGCTGTGGTTTCCCATCATTTTTGAAGAAAGATGAGGAGGTATGTGGTTTGGAAATGACTCCACCCAACTTACTAGAAGTACAGGGGAATTGGTCCAAGTTTGTTTAAGTCATGTAATTGGGCCTAAATGTAATTGTGTATGCACCGTTGCTAATAATTTCATGCTTGGCCAAATAGAAGGTAACAAGTTGAGTTTTTAAGATGTTCAAAATCTTGCAATGGCGAGATGCAGAGAAAATCCAGAATTTTGGTCTCTTCCAATTTGCTCAAAACCAGGCTTTGTTAAAACTAATCTTTGAAAAGAAACCAAGGTCTGCCCAAAAGAAGAGAATTACAGAGAATAACTTTGCAGAAAAGAGATGGAGAAAAAGAGTACAAGAGACTGAAGAGCAAATATATGTCAATGAGATGCAGATACAAAAAATTTATACACATATATATGAGTGTGAACTTTAGATAGGAAAATCTCACCGGATCACTTGAAATCTCCTCCTCCAAGTAGATGCCTCTTTGGGGAGTGTATCATTGTCTTAATAGAGGACAATCAAAGACGTCGACACAAGTTAACTTTGTGAGTCGTCTCATGGCGGCCTCGGGTGGTAAAGACTGAAGCTTTTGGCAAGACCATAGCGATAGGGTTTCAAGGGACACAAGGTTTCCAATCTAATCCGGTAGCACTTCTATTCCTCCAAAGTTCTCCAGCCTTAGTGAAGTGAGGGTAGCCAAGTATTGAAGCTGGTGTGGCAGGGACTCCGTGTGAGGCAACCCTCGTAAGCGAAGCTCACGGAGTGTTGATGCAGATCTTAAACCAGACCAATCAAAATCATCGACTGAGGAGTCATCTGAGGAGAAGGGAATGTTGATGCTCAATTCTCTTAAGCTGGTGGCAAAAGCAAATCCTTTGAAACTATGAGGGATCAATTTGGGACAGTCGTCTAAGACGAATTTCTCGAGAGAAGGCGTCTCCTGCAAATTAAGCGAAAATGATACCAGATTGGGACAACACTTCACCGACAGGGACCGCAGAGACCGGCATGACTGGAACATTTTGTCGGATATAGTGGTCAACCCTTCGCAATGATCAATTCTCAATTCCTCAAGACATGGTAGGGGGCATTTCTGTCCATTTACTCCTAGACTAATTAATCTTGGGCAAAATGAGATGGTCAATCGCTGCAAACTCGGTCCAAACAGATCCAGATCTGCACTTGGGATCCTCGATGACAAGTTTCCTATGCCAATTCAATGCCACTTCTAGCATTCCGCCAAGTGTCCTATTATTATTTGGGACTTTAATTTTCTAATAATCTAAATTGGTTTGGTTTAACAAAATTTTCCCTCAACCTCTAAGACTTTGAACCGACCGGTCTAATTTTTCTTCCAATTTTGAGAGAAACGACAACCTGGGAGGCTCAGATTCTTGGTCCTCATCTGGTCGGCCTCCACGGATATCTGAATGCCGGGAAATGCAGAGAATCTGAAGATCAGGATGCAGATTAACTCGGGGATGTAGGGAAAAGGAACGCTGCTACAATTCAGACCAAACTTTCTGCAAGAATAGTTGCAGAGACCAAGATGACATTATTGGCATTCAAAATCTGCCCCCAACCTTTTGATCCAAAAACAAAAAAATGTGAAACGAAAAACCGCCGGATGCCCACGTGACCGGTCTAACAGGATTATTCATTATAGCACCAAGAAACAAATGTAATTGCCATTAGCATGAAAACGCAGTCAGATCCTCCTTGCAGTGGTGACACAACATTCAAGACCTTTCTTCAACTTTCAACTTATTGGACAAGGTGCGGCAATTTTGTTTAGGGTTATCTTTTTCTTTTTCCCCAAAGCAACCAATCTTGAGTGGTTGCCGTACAAAAGTATTGGAAGAAAAATTAGACCGGTCGGTTCAAAGTCTTAGAGGTTGAGGGAAAATTTTGTTAAACCAAACCAATTTAGATTATTAGAAAATTAAAGTCCCAAATAATAATAGGACACTTGGCGGAATGCTAGAGGTGGCATTGAATTGGCATAAGAAACTTGTCACCGAGGATCCCAAGTGCCAGATCTGGCAGCTCCCTAAGATTGTCGCAAAAGCGGCTACTCAACTCCTCAACAGAAGCAGTGCCGTAAGCCATTTTTATACTTGTTAGATTATGGCACCTCTGCACGTCTAGACTTTTACACGAGCATGGAAGAGTGGTCAGTTGTAGGCAACCTCGAATGTGAAAATCCATCAGCATGGGAAAGACATCTGCTTCTGCTTCACCTACTGTTGACCTCACTTGGTCTACACCTTTCTACTCTACCAAATTCCCCGTACCTATTACCCAGAGGCTTTCAAGGGCAGGAAAGAATTTTCGTCTTCTAGTGCTGCTCCCTGATGCTCGTGATCTGCCCTCCTCCTCTTCCTTCTCCTCCTCATTAGTAGTAATACTGTAGAATTCATCTCCAACAGATCGAATGTTGTCCAATCCTATCAAATAGAGATATTTGAGAGATGGCAGTTGTCCTAATGAGGGGAGTTCACTGCATCTCTCGCAATCTTCTATCCACAACTCCACCAATTTTGGCAAATTGATAAGCCATTGTGAAATTTTATTACCCATAAAATATCGAATTTTCAACCTTTCCAAATTTGGGTGTGGTTGGAGACCTTCCGGCTTCCAACACATCCTCATCACAGTTATCACTTTCCCGATCCCCACTCTCCCATTCAAACTCCAACTCAGACAGATCTGGCTTTTCGACCAATTTTGCTTGCTTTGCTGCTTCTTTGCCCTTCACTAGTCCAAGATTTCTTACACTCAACGATCTTTTCAGATATGTCAAGCTCCCAAGCTCTTCGATGCCACAACCCTTCTCTTGACTTACATTAAAGAATTTCAGAGTTTGAAGACGAGTCAATCGTCCCATCTGCATTGGCATTTTAAATTCTGCATCATCATCGTTGTAGTTTAGATGTCCCAAGCTGATCAAATCTCTCATCCGTTTTGGAAAACCTCCTTCAAGTACATCATCTCTCATAGTTAGTGTTTGCAAATTATATAACTTGCAAAGAGATTCCGGCAAACTTCTGATTCCAGAAGATGATATGTCGAGCAACCGCAAACTTGGTAGTTTGCCAATGGAGCTCGGCAGAAACTTGACATCATTGCCATACAATCTGAGAACATGCAAATACTTGAATCTTAGAAGCATGTCAACAGATATTCCACCCTTTACATGGAGAAATAACGTGCGAATTGATGCTGGTATTGTCCTTGTGGTATTTTCTGCCAAACCTTCAGAAGAGTTCAATGCAAGGTAGCGATCCTGATTGCTGCTTTCTGGATTGAGAATTGATTTTGCAAAATCATGCACGAGATCGTGCATTTTATAGTATGTTCTCCACGACCCTTGGACTTTTTCCAGTAAGGAATTTTGCAAGAAAATCCTCAAATACTCGCCTCCTGTTTCCTCCATCACTCTATTATTCTTTAGAACAAAACCTTCTGCAATCCAATGCTGAATTAGTTCATCTTCTCCTAATTCAGTGTCCTTGGGAAAAATTGAGCAACATGCAAAACATTTCTTAACTGATGGAGGTGATAAATGATCAAAGCTCACCTTAAGTACTTGATTAATTTGGCTTTGATATTCATTCAAAAGACTCTCTTTCACGATAGATTGCCACTTCTCTAACCCACTGTTAAGCAACAAACCTCCAATTAACTTTGCTGCAAGTGGGAGGCCATCACATTTTTTAAAAATTTGCTTCTTCAATGCTTCCAATTCATTTGGTACTTCTTCCCCTGCAACTACCAGTTTTCCAGGATAGACCAGCATGCATCATCTGATAGCTTTCCTAGGAAATAAGGACCATCATTCATTTGTAGATGTCTAGGCACAGCATTAGCCACTGGTTCTAGACGCGTAGTGAGAGCACACCAGCTTCCTTTAGTTGTGCTGAGTCCCAACAACGTGGTGAAAAAGTCACTCCAGAATTCTTGTTCACAATTCCACACATCATCAAGAACAAGGAGAAATCTTTTTTCCCCAAGTTTTCCTCGAATTTCTTGAACTATGGCATCCCTACCATCCACTTCAACCTTTGTTCTTGTCAACGATTCTAAAATGAATTTGAACAGCTCCACTATTTTAATTTCTCTAGCCACACAAACCCAACTCTTTATGCCAAAATTCTCATCAATTTTTGTATTGTTGTAGACTGATTTAGCAAGAGTCGTTTTGCCCAGGCCCCCCATGCCTGTTATGAGAATAACTGAGACAACTCTTTCAGATGGGGTCAATAGCATCTCCACTATCTTTGACTCATCGCCAGCTCTTCCTACAACGTTTGGAACAACAATAGAGTCGGACGGTCTGCTTGTCATGGAACCAGTGGCATCAGCTTCTTTTTGTTGCTTTCTGACCAACCCCAAGTCATTGGCCTGCCAGTTGATCCTCTCTAGGTTGGTGTTGATGTCCCGGATCTTTGAAGCCAAGCTGGAACTAAAACCAATTGCACCAAAGAAGGAGAAGAAGAAGCATACCTTCTTCTTCATTGGTTGATTTCGGTACTTCACCTCCCGACGGAGATTGTCGTAGTTGAGCTCGTCCAGCACGTTATCAGCTTTAAAAACCTCATCTTCTAGCTGTTTGAGCCACTCTCGCACCCCTTGGGTATGCATGTTCTCGTCACAATCAGCCAAGAAACCTTGGATCATTGCAGCAGTTTTGCTTAGTCTCTCCAACTCCGCTTTGACTCCCCGAACCATACCAATGCGGTCCGCAGCAATGGAAATAACTATCCCCAAGACAACCTCAACAGTAGCACTGATAGCAGAGTCAACCATTGTTTCTTGCTTGGAATTGGAACTTGGATCGAAAGGTTTTCTGATATCAGAGATGGAAGGAATGTTTCAGCAACAAATGGTAGAAATCAGAATAGAAGCCCAGAATAAGAGAGAGATGAGTTAAACGATTCTAGTGGGTGATCTATGAGATTTAAATTAGTATAATTGTGATTAATCAAATTGTGTGGGTCACCTCAAAATAATTTTAGCGCAATCTGACTTATCACTGGTGGGGCCCTTAATTGTGGAAGAAATTAAACCACTGTGGTCGGATGAAAAGAAAATTGGAACTCATAAATTGTAGCAATCTGAGTAGGTGGTGAAACTTTTATCGGAGTGTTCCTCAATTAGGGAATTAAGGTAGCGAAAATTAATGGGACCAAAAAGTTTATATAGCAAATCAATAAACAAATCAGACCCTCTTTTTAAACCAGTTAATTTGCCTCCTGTGTAGTAGAAATTTTGACAGGTGTAGCGGATGGTTACCTTAGTGTCTTGGTAGCGAGGCTTGTGTTCTCAAATTACTTGCTTTTGGTCAATAATGAAATCTGGAGATTCTTTGTCCAAATTGTAGAACTGTTGATTATTAAATCTTTTAAATTTTGCATAACCTTGGATTGAGTCACATATATATATATATATATATATATATATATAAACATAAAGAATGTTTGACTAATTAAGTTAGACAACTTTCCTTCAATGTTGTTTGGGAGCTTAAAAAAGAAAAGAAAAGAAATGATTTTTTTGGTTTTGTTTGAGACTTGGGAGGAGTGAAAGGAAAAGATTGTCTTCTTTGTTAGTTTTACAACCGTGCCCTTATATTAAAAAGTTCTTCTAAAGTAAATAATTGCAACAAAACTGACAGCTTCAAGTTTAAACGCCTTTAAGCCAAAGGAAATTTAAACACCTTCAGGTTTAAGGGTCTGTTTGATAACATAAAAAAGTGCTGAATCTGAATTTTTTCAGACATTCAGATGTTTTGAGCGTTTGATAAATGAAAATCTATTTGCTAAACTTATTAAGCAGTGCTGAACCTGTGTGTATTTTTTTCAGTGCAAGAATCCTAACTGAATGCTTAATTCTGATAAGAATCAATAGAATTAATTCAACTACCTTATTTTATTTACCAAATCTACCCTTGTTTGTTAATTATATTCAAAATTCTTATCTAATTAAACAATCTAATATTCTCTATCTAACGATTTTTAGTTTCTCTTTTCTCCCTTTTTAATGACTTTCACATCTTCTCCATATTCCTTATATAATATATTTCATCTTTTATATTAATTTGATTTAAAAATAAATATTGTCATTTTTATACCTAACAATTTTAAACTAATTAAATCATAGATTCTATTTCTTTTTTGAATAAAAGGATATAAGGACAAAATTGTCAAATTAAACTTATTAAGCATTCAGCTATAAATATTTATCAAACAGTATAAATAGGTTTAGCATTAAAATTCAGACATTCACATATTTTTTTCAATACTTAAAATTCAGCAAATTAATTGTTTCAGTATTCAGATTTTAGAATTCAGACTTCAAAATTCAGATTCAGTTTTATCAAACGGAACCTAAGTCAAGAGCTTATTATTTTACTCCATCAAAACTACAATTATCATATAATTCCCCTAGACCAGTGTTCCTCCATGTTGCCCCTAATTTTTCACCTCACATCACCATTTAAGTTTATATATCCAAGTTGGCCAAAATTAGGAATTTTTTGTCAATGTTTGTCGAGTCTACATATCTGATTTGTTCTAAGTTGCATCAATATTTCCTTTCGCACATTCTGACTTTGTTTAGATCGATACCCAATGGGTCATTCAACATAATTTGTGCAACAAATCCTTTGAGGCATGATCAATTTTGTTACATGGTAAATAACGTCAACACCAACTAATTGTCATTGTTTTTGTTGGATGTGAAACTGATTTGAATCTTCGTGTGATTTCTTATCCATCTGAAAGTATTAATGTTAGTGTATTTATTTTTATGAGTCAGTAGGTAACTAAAATAATAAATTTGTTGCTAATCAGACAACCTTACTATATATACGAGGTCCTTAAAATATGATCATAGTTTGCCACCCAATACTAGTTGGAAAAAAAATCAATTATTTCATGTCGTATGCTGCCTTACGAGTATATTGCTCCGTCTAAAAGAACCGGCAAAAGTTGTTGTGAGGGATTATGCCAAGCCATTAATTGGTGATAATCTGATCATAGTTGTAAGTGATTAAGATCAGTACTAAGTGCAGCATAAATTGATGTCTAAGATGATTCAACGGGAATAAATTATCAATTATCCAACTTGTTTAAACTTTGATCTGAATGCAAATTAACAAACTTTCCTAGCAATACATATATCATAATCTCTCATCCTACTTGTCCAGGATTGTTAAATAGGGATAATTTTGAAAAATCATTGAAGCCGTATAATTATTCATATA